ATATATATATATATATATATATATATATATATATATATATATATATATATATATATATATATAGATAAATATATATATATATATATATATATATATATATATATATATATATATATATATATATATATATATATATATATATATATATATGTATACATACATACATGGTTTCTACTACCTTTCTAGCTCATGTATGCAATTTTATTAGAAATATTATCGATTGCTTCGGCTGCTTCTTCGTGTCTCCATCACAGATGTCGAGAGAGAGGGAGAAGCGGAGGAAGGGGGGGGGGGGGCAGAGTCTTACGGGATGACGTCATTAAGATTCTGGTTTTAATCAAAAGGAAGTTATCCAGGTAGACAGGCTAGGAAGCGAGGAAGTTACTCTAAAGTTGAAAGTTCTCCAAGTTGGGAGTTAAGTTAGGGCGTTTAGAGAGGGGAAGGAAGTGAGGGGAGAAGGGGTGAAGGGGAGGGAGGAAGGAGAAGGCTCGAGTGATACTTGGACAAGTGTGTGATGGCTCTGGAGGCTGTTCCTCCGACAGGTGTATCATATAGATCCTAGAGTGTGTAATTATTTATGATGCATATTTCATCTCTCTCTCTCTCTCTCTCTCTCTCTCTCTCTCTCTCTCTATCTCTATCTCTCTCTTCCTCTCTTTCGCAGGGTTCCTCTCACTCTGCCTTTGTGTTTCCCTGTCTCTCTCTGTCTTTCTGTTTGTCTGTTTGTCTGTCTCTCTGTTTGTCTGTCTGTCTGTCTTCTGTCTGTCTGTCTGCCTGTCTTCTGTCTGTCTGTCTGTCTGTCTGTCTGTCTCTCTCTCTCTCTCTCTCTCTCTCTCTCTCTCTCTCTCTCTCTCTCTCTCTCTCTCTCTCTCCCTCTCTCTCTCTCTCTCTCTCTCTCTCTCTCTCTCTCTTTCACTCACTCACTCACTCAATCCGTCCTTCCCTTCCTCTTCCCTTCACTATATTGCATCCATCTCTTTGTTCCCTCCTCCCCTCGTTCCCTATCTCCCTCTCTTCCTCTCTTCCTCCCTCCTTTCCCTTTCTCTCTCTCCCTCCATCCTCTTTCCCCCCCCAATCTCTCCAGTCTTCTCCTCCATCCATCCTTCCCTCCTTCCCTTCCCTCCTCATTATCCTTTTTTCTTCTTTCCTTCCCTCCTTCCATCCATCCCTGCTTTTTTCCCACCCTCCCTCCCTACTTCCCTCCTTCCTGCCCTCCCTCCTACCTTTTACCTCAATATTTTTTTCATTCTTCCTCTTTTTCTTATCCCTCCTTTCATCCTCCTACTCCTCCTCCTCTTTCCTCCTTCTCCTCCTCCCCCTCCTCCACCATCCCCCTCCCCCTCCACCACCACCTCCTCCCCCTCCTCCTCTTTCCTCTCCCCCTCCACCACCACCTCCTCCCCCTCCTCCTCTTTCCTCTCCCCCTCCGCCACCACCACCTCCTCCCCCTCCTCCGCTTTCCTTTCCTCTTCCTCTCCCCCTCCCCCTCCTCCTTCCCTCCTCCTCTCCCACTCCCCCTCCCCCTCCCCCTCCGCCACCACCACCTCCTCACCCCTTTCCTCTCCCCCACCCCCTTCCCTCCTCCTCCTCCTCCCCCTCCCCCTCCCCCTCCTCCTTCCCTCCTCCTCTTTCCTCCCCCCCACCCTCCCTCTCCCCCTCCCTCTCCCTCTCCCCCACCCCCTTCCCTCCTCCTCCTTCCACTCCCCCTCCCCCTCCCCCTTGCCACAGGAGCTCGACACAAGATCTAGCCAAGGAGCTCGAAGGGGGCGGAAAGAGCAACAAACACAGGGCGAAGGACAATAAACTTACCTGGCGTCGCTCCTATCTTGGGTCGGGGAGTGGGGGGCGGGGGCGGGGGGTGGGGGGGAGGGAGTTGAAGGAGGGGATTGGGGGGGAGGAGGGGAAGAAGGGGAAGGAAGGGGAGGGGGATGGAGTGGTTGAAGGAGGGGATGGGGGGGCGGGGGTTGAAGGAGGGGATGCGGGGGGGAGGAGGGGAAGAAGGGGAAGGAAGGGGAGGGGGATGGAGTGGTTGAAGGAGGGGATGGGGGGGCGGGGGTTGAAGGAGGGGATGCGGGGGGGAGGAGGGGAAGAAGGGGAAGGAAGGGGAGGGGGATAGAGTGGTTGAAGGAGGGGATGGGGGGGGCGGGGGTTGAAGGAGGGGATGGGGGGGAGGAGGGGAAGAAGGGGAAGGAAGGGGAGGGGGATGGAGTGGTTGAAGGAGGGGATGGGGGGGGCGGGGGTTGAAGGAGGGGATGCGGGGGGGAGGAGGGGAAGAAGGGGAAGGAAGGGGAGGGGGATAGAGTGGTTGAAGGAGGGGATGGGGGGGCGGGGGTTGAAGGAGGGGATGGGGGGGAGGAGGGGAAGAAGGGGAAGGAAGGGGAGGGGAAGAAGGGGAAGGAAGGGGAGGGGGATGGAGTGGTTGAAGGAGGGGATGGGGGGGAGGAGGGGAAGAAGGGGAAGGAAGGGGAGGGGGATGGAGTGGTTGAAGGAGGGGATGGGGGGGAGGAGGGGAAGAAGGGGAAGGAAGGGGAGGGGGATGGAGTGGTTGAAGGAGGGGAGGGGGGGAGGAGGGGAAGAAGGGGAAGGAAGGGGAGGGGGATAGAGTGGTTGAAGGAGGGGAGGGGGGGTAAAGGAGGGAGGAAGGGGAGGGGTGAAGGAGGGGGAGGGGTGAAGGAGGGGGAGGAGGAAGGAAGGGGAGGAATGAAGGAGGGAGGAAAGGGAGGGGCGAAGGAGGGTAATGGCGATGTAGGAAGGAGAGGGGGGGGGTGAAGGAGGGAGAGGAAGGGGGTGGGGAGAAGTAAAGGGGTAGGATGAGGATAAGGTAGGTGGGGGGGAGGGGAAGGGGTAGAGGGAGAACGAGCTGATAACAGGAGGAAGTGAGTGATAAGAAGGTCCGCAAGGTGGAATGAAGGAGGCAGTAGGAGGGAGAAAGAGGGAGCGGAACGAATAAAAGAGAAGAGAGAGGGAGAGAAAGAGAGAGAGGGAGAGAGAGAGAGAGAGAGAGAGAGAGAGAGAGAGAGAGAGAGAGAGAGAGAGAGAGAGAGAGAGAGAGAGAGAGAGAGAGAGAGAGAGAGAGAGAGAGAGAGAGACAGACAGACACACAGACAGACAGAGACAGACAGACAGACAGACAGACAGACAGACAGAGACAGAGGGAGAGAGACAACGAATAAAAAGAGAGAAAGAGAGGAAGAAAGAGAAAACAAGAGCAAGAAATAAGGAAGAGCTAGAGAAAGAAAGAAAGAAAGAAAGTAAAAGACTAAAATCATATCAAAAAGAGAAGTGAAGAGAAAAAAAGGGATCCTAAGCGACTGAAGAATTGCTGATGCACGAAGATTGAGAATGCCAAAGGAGAATGCAACTGCAATGGCAAAATAAGATTTAAAAAGGGAAAAATACAAACCGACTCAGCTGAAACTTCGGTGAATACAAATACAAATTTTGTGCTGATTTTTCACCCTAACTCATAAACCATCGAGATGTTTGCCAAGATTGTTAATATCATTTGTTATTATTAACGTTACTCTTTGTCGTCAATGTTATTGTTTGTTATTAATCTTATTTTTGTTATTAATCTTATTTTCTTATAATTAAATTCTTTATTATTAATGTTATTTTTATATCATTAATGTTTAGATCATTAATTTTATTTCTTAGTATTGATTATATTCCTTATTATCACTATTTTGTCTCTCCCAAACGTTCATTTGCAGAAGCAACATAACGAATTTAACTGTAGCATCTTATAAGTAAATTGACAGATAAGTAAGAAAGTTTATTTAGTATTTCGTGCTTTATTCACAACACCCGGCCGTTTATTTATTTATTTTTTTTTTTACTTTACTGCTGTTGCTGATGTTTTCGGCTTGCTGGAAAATTCAGTAAATGAAAGAAGAGGAACGGAGGATTTTTTTTTCAAGGGTATGTATCTTGGCCTGTCCGGGAGGTGTGGCATTTGGTTTCTTTTCCGGGTAAAGGAAAACTAGCACAGGTAGTGGGGTGGGGCCACGCGGCGAGAAGAGGATCGGACGGAGATTAGCTTTACGAAATAATTGTACATATGTATATATATATATATATATGTGTGTGTGTGTGTATGTGTGTGAGTGTGTGTGTGTGTGTGTGTGTGTGTGTGTGTGTGTGTGTGTGTGTGTGTGTGTGTGTGTGTGTGTGTGTGTGTGTGTGTGTGTGCGTGTGTGTGTGTGTGTGTGTGTGTGTGTGTGTGTGTATTTGTGTGTATGTGTCAGCAAGAGAGTTTGTGAACGCCGCTGTCACCAGATGTCAACGAGAGAGTGTCTTGAACATCGCTTGTCACCATACATCAACGGGAGAGGGTGGCCTTAGTGCAGGTGAATGGTTTATTGATGAAGGTATATGTAATACTCCCAAGAGACCCCCGTGTCCCCGAGATGGAGGTCGAGTTGATGGAGCTGAACCCTGAGTGTCTTGGTCTGTCTGCCATCTCCCTCTGTTGAATTTTATGGAGCTGAACCCTGAGTGTCTTGGTCTGTCTGCCATCTCCCTCTGTTGTCATTTTATGCAGCGGCTTCCTTCGAGGGCGGATGATTACTTACGTCGTGGAAGTGCCAAAAGAGAAAGCAGAGCAGGCACCTGCGTCCGCCCAAGGAGGAAAGGCAGCTGCTGGGGTCTTGCTATGTATTGTTAACAATATTTATATAAGTATATGTAAAAATATATATAGAAAAAGTTACATATTTACGTGTGTGTATGTGTGTACACTGATGGAAACACATAAATGAGATTAAACAAGCAAGGACAGAAAGGTATAAGACAGGTATTTTGTATAAGGAAGTGAATGAATGGTGTCAAGTACCTAGAATGTACATACTAGCGATGGGCGATGATAATTGGTTCATGCATATATGTAAATACGTGCCACTCCGGCGATGAATTTCCCATGCGTTTATTCATGAGACGGTTATTCTCTGGCGTTTTCAGAGGGTAGTAACGCCCGCTCACTCGGTTCTCTCTCGTTCCAGGAGGCATGATTGTGACGCCCACCTACAGCCGCGAGATGGGCGAGGGCGGCCGTCTGCTGCCCGCCGCCCGCGTACCGACCCTGGGCCTGCCTGACCCGAACCCCGCGCCCACGTACAAGTCGGACGTGGGCGTGTACAAGGCGGGCATGGGCGTCGCCGGGGCCTACGACCACAACAAGAACAGTCTGAGCGAGAAGGAGGGCAGCTCCGGCGGGGCGCTCGGGCCGCACGCGCACGCGCACCACCTGCAGCCCTTCACGGCGCCCTGGCTGGCCGAGGTCGCCCACATCACGCCCGCGCGCCCCAGCGACCACCTGCCCTACCCGCAGGCCCCCGCCCCCTCCCTGCCCGACTACTACCCGCACTACCCCAGCCTGGCGCACCGCCCCGCGGGCTACTACCCGCACCCGTTCCTGCCCCCGGGCGCCGCGGGCCACTTCCTGCGCGACTACCCCCGCCACGCGCCCCGCCCCTACCCCCCGCTGGACCCGCGGCCGCCCCTCGAGAGGCCCACGGCCGTGTCGGCGGCCCCGCCCCTCATGCGGCCGCTGGCGCCGCCGCCCCTGCGCGGGCTGCACCCCGACCCCAGGGACCCTCGCGACCCCAGGGACCTCAGGGACGTACCGCCGCCGCCGCCGCCCGGGAAGATGCGGCCGCGGCCGCCGGACCTGACGCTGCCCGTGAGCCCCGGCGTGCCCCCGGGGGAGCCCTCCCCGCGGGGGCCGCACGGGGAGCCGAGCCCCAAGCGCCGTGCGGGCGCCTCCGCCTTCCCGATGCCGGCGCCGAGGTCCCCGCGCGCCGGCCACAGGGGGCACTCGGCCCTGGCGGCGTCGGGCCCCCCCGGTCCCAGGGGCGGGGCCCCCTCCCTCAGCACCGCCGCCCGTACCGGGCCCTCCGCTGCCCCGCCCGCCCGCGTCGGGGCCCGTCGCCTCGGCCTCGGCGCCCGCGCCCACCGCCGCCCCCGCCGCGACGCCACCCGAAGAGCCGCGTCCCGCCTCGCCGTACCACGCCCACTTTGCCCGCGGCGCCCTCGTCACAGTGGGCACGACGGTGCGGCGCGTCGAGGAGCTCGAGACCAAGGACTTCCTGGAGGCGGCGCGCGCGGCGGACGACCTCAAGCTGGACCCGTCGACGGTGGCCGCCATCTGCAGCAGCCCCAGCCGGCCAGGCACCTCCACCATCACCTTCACCTTCCCCTCCAGGAACACGCAGGTGAGCGCTCTCTCTCGCTCTCTCTCTCTCTCTCTCTCTCTCTCTCTCTCTCTCTCTCTCTCTCTCTCTCTCCCTCCCTCCTCTCTCTCTCTCTCTCTCTCTCTCTCTCTCTCTCTCTCTCTCTCTCTCTTCTCTCACGTGTTCGTATGTGGGAGTGCGTGTGCGTGCTCACATACATTTCAGTCAGTCACCAGGCCTCATATTCCTCTCTTATGAATATTTTTGTTCTCTCTCCCTCATCACTGCACTTCCAATAAAGCTCCCCCACATACCCCTCCCCCGCCTCCCCATTTACACCCCACCTCCCCCCTCCTCCCCAGCTCTCAGTGAATGCCACCTGGGGATTCCCTCGCAGGTGAGTCTAATAAGCCACCCCTTTCACCTCAATCAACTTGCGAGAATGAGAGGAGAAGAGGGAGGGAGGGAGAGGGGAAGGAGAGGAAGGGGGGAGAGAGACAGAGACAGAAGGGAGTGAGGAGGAGGGGGGGAAGAGGGAGGGAGAAAGGGAGGTAGGGAGGGAGGGAACCTGCCCTGACCCCTCAAAAATAGCCCCTTCTTTGTCCACATATGTTCTTTTTAGGGCGTCTGCACACCTTTACTTTACTGATATAACCGATCCTGTTCACTTTTTGTCCTTCAGACCTGTTAACTGAAGCGTTAGAATACATAAATGTTCATACCGAACTATATCAGTTATTGAAATCAATACATCACACCCAATCATAAGACAAATATTAATATCAACAAACAACCTGACCCTTTTTCACCGATATCGCTAAAAAAAAAAAAACACACCTGCCTAAAAGTAATAATAATAATGATAAAAAAAAACACGAAACATAACATCCACATTAATCCATTTGTGTCAATTCATATGGGAAAATCACAGTTTCATTCGCGGCAAACATTTATTCACATGTATTAATAATGGTGTACGGTTTCCACGCCTATTTCTCTCCCTCCCTCCCTCCCTTCCTCTGCGTCTCCCTCCCTTCCACCCTCCCTCCCGCACTCCCACCCTCCTCCCTCCCTTCCACCTTTCCTTCTCCCTCCCTCCTCCCCCCCTCTCTTCCTCCCTCCCTTCCTCCCTACCTTCCTTCTTTCCACCTTCCTTCCTCCCTCCCTCCCTCCTTCCCTCCCTTCCTCCCTCTCTCCCTTCCTCCCTTCCACCTTCCTTCCTCCCTCCCTCCTCCCCCCCCTCTCTTCCCTCCCTCCCTTCCCTCCCTTTTTCCCTCCTCCCTCCTCCCTTTTTTCCACCTTCCCTCCTCCCTCTCTCCCTCCCACTGTATCTCCCTCCCTTCCACCCTCCCTCCCTCTGTTTCCCTCCCTCTGTGTCTCCCTCCCTTCCACCCTCCCTCCCTCTGTTTCCCTCCCTCTGTGTCTCCCTCCCTTCCACCCTCCCTCCCTCTGTGTCACCCTCCCTCCCTCTGCGCCTCCCCCTCCGACCGTTCATGCATTCTTGAAAAGGCGTCTCTCCCTCCCCGTTCCAGCTCCGTATATTTTTTATTCTTCCAGTTCATAGAGGGTGCGAACTCTGTGCCCCTTTTATAGGATGTCTTTAAAAGTTATTATATACGGGATTGTTTTCTGTGTTGTTTTTTGTTTGGGTGGTTTGGTTTTAATGGATTTGTTTGTTTGTTTGTCAACTTCGTGTTTTTGTTTATGTTTTTTTTGTTTTTTTTTTGTCTGTCTCTGTTTTCTGTTTGTGGGTCTTTTGTTTGTCTCTCTCTCTCTCTCTCTCTCTCTCTCTCTCTCTCTCTCTCTCTCTCTCTCTCTCTCTCTCTCTCTCTCTCTCTCTCTCTCTCTCTCTCTCTCTCTCTCTCTCTTTCTCTCTTTCCTTTCCTACTTCCCTCTCCCTCCCCCATCCTACTTCCCTCCCCCCAATTCCTCCTTCCTCTCCCTCCTAACCCCATCCTTCCCTCCTACCTCACCCAATCCCTCCCTCTCTCCCTCCCTCCCTCCCTCCCTCCTCTCCCTCGTCTCCCTCGTCTCCCTCCCTCCCTCCCTCCCTCCCTCCCTCCCTCCCTCTCTTCCTCCTTCCTTACCCCATCCCTCCCTCCTTCCTTACCCCATCCCTCCTCTACCTTCCTCCCTCCTCTCCCTCCCTCCCTCCTTCCTCTCCCTCCCTCCCTCCCTCCCTCCCTCTGCCCCCTATCCCTCCCTCCCTCCCTCCCTCCTTCCCTCCCTCCTCTCCCTCCCTCCTTCCCTCCCTCCTCTCCCTCCCTCTCTCTCTTTTACCAGAATTATACATTTCCATCCGACGTGCTATTTTCCGAAGCGCTATTTCCCCCGAACCTTTTGACAACAGAAGCTTCGAGTCTTGCGTTCGTTCTGTCCGTCTGTCGTGGTTCCTTCGCCGAGCATCCTTGAGCGAGGTGTCCGGAGAATACAGCGTTGACAGGACGCTCATTCGCCTCGTAATCCTGTTCCTGTCTGACCCCCGCCCTTCTCGGTCCCGTCCTGGGGCGTACGTGACTCATTCTTAACATTTCCCTTTGTAAATCGTGTGCCCCCCCCCCCTCCTTCCTCCTTCCCCCCTCCCACCCCCTATTTCAAACTCTCCCTGCATCTCTCCCTTCTTCTTCTTCTTCTTCTGTTCCTTCCCCTCCCTCCCTCGTCTGTTTCTTCCCCTTCCTCTATTCCTTCTTCCTTTTCTTCCCCTCCTTCCCTTATCTGTTCCTTTCCCTCTCTCTGTTCCTCCTTCCCTTCCCTCTGTTCTTTCTTTTCCCTCTCTTCCTTCATTTTCTTCCCTCCTTATCTTCTTTTCCACTCCCTCCCTCTATTTCTCCTTCTATTCCTCCCCTTCTCCCCTTACCTCCTTAGCCTCTCTTCCTCTATTTCTTCCTCTTCCTTCTCTTCCTGATCCTTCTTCCCTCACTATTTCATCTTTTTCTCTTTCTCTCTCCTTCACTTCCTCCTCTCTTCCTTCCCCTCTCTCCTTTGCCCATGACTCCGTTTCCCTCTTTCCTTCTCTTCTCCCGTTGCACTTCCTCTTCCTTTCCTTCTCTTTCCCATCTTCTTTTCCACTTATCTTCCTTTTTTCCTTCCTCTTCTCCTCAATTCACATCCTCCCCTCCTACTTCTCCCTCCTCCTCCTCCCCCACCTCCCCCTCTTCTTCTCCCTCCTCTTTCACTCCTCCCCCACTTCCCTCCTTCTTTCTCTTGACCCTCTTCCTTCTCCCCTACTTCTTCCTTTCGTCTTCCTTCGCTCCTTCCTCACCTCTGCTCCTTCCTTCCTTCTCTCGGTCCTCTTCCTTCTCCCTTTCTCCCTCTCCCGTGTTTTTTTTTTTTTTTTTTTTTTTTTTTTTTTTTACTAACTTGTTGTTGCACGTTTTTCTTTAATCTCTATTCTTCACCTTCTGTTGTTCTTTCTCTTTCTATTTCTCATTCGTGTTTTTCTTCTTCCCACGCTTTCATGTCTCTCTTCCTCCCATCTACTCGTACATATCCCTTTTCCCCACTTTCATCCTTCCTTCTCCTCGTCCTTTTATCACTATTTCCTCTTCGTCTTTTTTTTTTCATTATTGTCCCTCTCCCCCCCTTCCCCCCCTCCCCCTCCCCCCGACTTCCGCCTCCACCCAATCCCCAGCCGAAGAACATCCGCCAGTCGCCTCATAACCTCACAATATCCCGTCGTTGTCACCCCTCCCCCCCCTCCTTCATCCCTCCTACTCTTCCTCATGATCTTCCTCTTCCTCTGTGTCTCTTGTTCTGTCTCTCCCTTTTCCCTCTGTCTCTCATATCAATTCGACTTATTTTTCTGTTCGTCTTTTCTTCTAGTTTTTATT